GATGATGTGGACAGATGGAGCAGCTGGGGACACTGGACTCAGGGAGGGAAAGGGGCTGTGTGCTGACTGCTGGGGAGGCAGACCTGTGGGGTCTACCCTCTGGTTGTTTAATGATACATGGAGGGGATTGTAATCATTGAAATGAAATGAAATACAATAGGATGAATGTAAAACGGATGTTCTACCATGTAAACCCACATAATTCACAATAAAAACTTTAAAAAATATATAGATAATCTCTAGAAAAAAATCTTTCTTTTATATTTAGTATAGATTGACAAGCATGGTACCTGGTTACACTTATGTTTCTCTGAAGAGCAGGGAGCTCCTGTAATGCACTGTCCCCAGCCTTTAGATAGAGACCTGACATATTGAAATCATCCAATAAATGCCCATTGAATAAATGATCATATGAATTATACTGTATCCTGAAGTTACTATGGTAAAGGTTATTTCTCTCTGTAGAGCATCTCTGATCGCTGTGGTGAATTTAAGGAGGATGAAGCAAGTTAGGAAGAAGTTAGCATAATCTCATCTGCCTCTGTACTCCGTTTCTTTGACCATAGGACATTCTGAGTAATGAATGAGAATCATTGTATCTGTTATCTGGAATGGCAACAAAAAAAGGAGGAAGTTTGAGAGAATAAGCAATATGTTCCAGCACTAGTCTTGAGGGATTTATTGAGAAACATTGAGTAAAAATAACTATATAGTGGTGATTGTTATTAAATGCTGTTGAACTGGTTTTGACTCATAGAGACCCTGTGTTTTATCTCATAGAGACCCTTTAAAGGATTTTTGAAGAGTGGCTGGTGGGTTTGAACCACTTACCTTGTGGTTCGCAGTCTGGTGCTGATTCTACAGTGCCACATGGTATTAGGAAATATTAAATTGTGGCTTATAATGCTCTAAACAATTGTAGCTGTTAAGTTCTGTTGAGTCAGTTCCGACTAATAATGACCCTGTGTAGAGTTTCTGAAGGAGTTCTGATAGTGTAGTTGTTATGAATTGGGTTGCTAACCTCAAGATCAGCAGTTCAAAACTACCAGATGTTCCATGCGAGAAAGATGAGGCTTTCTGCTCCTATAAACATTTACAGCCTCGGAAACCCTGTACAAGGTCGGAACTGACTCCACGGCACACCACTACCAACATAAGGTTTCTGGGGAGCAACTGGGGGGAATTGAACCAACCTTGAGGTTAGCAGTCCAGTGCTTATTTGATAGTACCACATAGTGGGAAAGATTAAATTGAGGCTGCTGGTGCTATAAACAGTGGCAGGAATAAAATACAAGGGGCTTTAAAAGTTCGTGGAAAAATGGATTTAATAGGTAGTAGAATTTTTCCACAAACTTTTTGAAGCCCCCTTTTATAAGTATGTCTGAGTTGCTGTTGTAAAGTGATGCATGTTCCTGATAAAAATGAAGCCTAAATTTTAAACTTGTTTTAGGTATGTAGTAATGATACAAACATTATGAATATAGTTTGCAAATGCTAACATATTAACATAGTCACATGCTTGATTGTATGTTAATTACACCCCCCATTATAGTCTTTAAATGCCCTGGAAAATGCACAAACAAGAAATTATTTATCTAAAGCAGCTCTGTTGACCTATAATTTTGCACAGTTTAAAAATAATTTTACTGTTCAGTAAGTGATAAACCTTTCTCTTTGTGTTTTGAACAGGGTTTCAAAGAACCTAGAAAATACATTGCTGCACAAGGTAATTTATTTGATTGTCGACATTTTTTTTTTAATGCTTAATACCATTTGTAAGAAACATTTCTTATTGACTTGCTTTTGTTAATTTCCTAGGACCCCGAGATGAAACTGTTGATGATTTCTGGAGGATGATCTGGGAACAGAAAGCCACAGTTATTGTGATGGTCACTCGATGTGAAGAGGGAAACAGGGTAAGTAAGGCCCCAGTGATTCATGTTGCTAAGTGCTGTTGAGTCGGATTCATAGAGACCCTGTATAGGGTTTCTGAAGAGTGACGGTGGATTTGAACCACCAACCTGTGGTTCAAACCGACATTGTTGTGGAGTGCTTATCCTATAGCACCACACCAGGACTCCAATATAGAGCTATTTCTGGGGTCAGGAAAATAAAATGCTGCATAACCTTTAAAAAAGCATATATATGTGCTTCACAACAAAAACAGATCCTTCTCTATCTTAGTCATTGTAACACTTGATTTAAAATTTTCAAAATGTAGTAAAATTGTATAGCGTAGTGGTTACGAATCGGGCTGCGAACCTTAAGGTCAGCGGTTCGAAACTACCAGCCGCTCCGCGGGAGAAAGATGAGGCTTTCTACTCCCGTAAAGACTTACACCCTTGGAAACCCTGTACAGGGTCGCTATGGGTCGGAACCGACTTGACGGCACTTAACAACAACATATATATATATATACACATACATATACAATTGTATATAGATAGATAGATAGATAGATACACACATATATATAATGTTGTTGTTGTTAAGTGCCATTAAGTTGATTCCGACCATATCTAAATACATGTATGTATTAAATTTAAATGCTTATGCCTAATTGCTGGACTTGTTTTGACCTCTATTTCTTTTCAGTTTTGCTCTAAATTCAGTTCTTACATAGGCAGTTAGAACCCTGGAGGTATTGTGGGTTAGGGGTTGGGCTGCTAACCACAGGGTCAGTGGTTCAAATCCTGTAACTACTCCACTGATAACGATGAAACTATCTGCTTCCATAAAGATTTACAGTCTGGGAAACCCTATGTAGGGTTGCTATGAGTCTGAATTAACTTGTTGGCTGTGGGTTATAGGTACAAACTTCACAAGAGCTTGTGAATGCTTGAAACCAAGCCAACCATGGATAGACACATAGTAACTGTTGTTGTTAAGTGCCGTCAAGTCAGTGCTGACTCTTAATGACTCTGTATATGGTTTCTGAGGTGCAGCTGGTGAGTTTGAACTGCTGACCTTGAGGTTCGCACCCACCTTTTGGTCCAGTGCTTTTTCTACAGTGCCACACCAATGTGACTTTACTGTTGTTGGTAAGTGCCATTGAGTCAGTTCCAAACCACAGTGACCCTGTATAGAATTTCCAAGGAATGGCTGGTGACCTTGAACTGCCTAGTTTGCAGTTCTACCTGGCTTGTCAGTCCAGCACATTAAGCCACAGTGCTACACCAAGGTTCCTCCCTGAAACCAATCATAAATAATTTATTGCTTCTTAATGATCATTAATACATGGTCTTTAACATGAAGCTAAGCCTGGCACAGTGTCAGCAGCAATGGGTTCAAATGTACTAACAATTGTGAAGTTGGTGCAGAATTGGACAGAGTTTTGTTCTGTTGTACATAGGGTCACTATGAGTTGGTACCACCTGACGGCACCGAAAAACATCAGTAAAAATAAGCCTGGGAAGACCATACTTCTGCTAAGCAGTATAAAGGAATTCCTTCAAGAGACATTACTGGGAAATGGAATATATTTCAGGCATTTAGCTTAAGGTGTATTTGTAAATAAAAGACAATACATGAATGTTTTGAGAGTTTTAGATGAATGAAGTTTTGTTTGTTGAAAAGAATATTTAATGAGATTTCTTTTGGTGGAAAACTAGAATCATTAATGCTGTTTTAAAATGCAGAACAAGTGTGCAGAATACTGGCCATCAATGGAACAGGGCACCAAAACTTATGGAGATGTAATTGTAAAGATCAAGGAGCACAAGATATGCCCGGATTATATTATTCAGAAATTGAACATTACACACGTGAGTTAATGACATAATTTTGTTTTGGTATGGTTTTTCTAAAAATACAGTAATGGAGACATTAAAATTTATCAAAATTATTTTTAATGACCTTCAGGAGAAACAATTAAATCAGAAAAAGAATAAGCACACAGGGTCATATTAAGCCTTTGATCAAATAAGAGATTTTCTGAGTTAAAATTAAAAATAGTTATTAGTCTCTGACCCTTGATATATAAAGAAAGTATAAGATGTCATTAGATTTGTTGAACAAATGATTGAATTAATGAATAAGTGGTCATTCTTTTCAATGAGTTTAATACCAATTTTTTTGTATTGAAAGACTATTTATACAAGTTGCATAACGAACCTAATTTATACAGTGGCTTGTGATCAACTAATAAAAAAAATGTTAGTGGTTGCAACAAACCCAGTGGGAAGGTGGAAGAAAGATCTGGCATTCTTTGCTTCCATAAAGATCAACTATTTTGCTCAGGTCTACTCTGATGTGTGGGGCTGCCATGAGTCTAAATTGACTTGAAGGCAATGGGCTTAGTTTTTTCAGGTTTTAAGAAGTATGAAGACAAAACTATGTAGTAGAGATACGTTTAGCTCAGAAAAGAACAATGCCCATGTGACCTTAAGTAATAGTTAAAATGGAGGCTTTCATAGAAGGGATTTAAAATTTGTATAAATTCTAGTTGGAGGGCTTTCTAAATTTTGTTTCTATACAGTCCAGATAAGCCTTCTTTATGGAAAAGTACCCACTTCGTTTCTATTTCTCCTAAGGGATTTTAAGACTCCTATGGATTACTAACTATTGTATCCATGGCGGGGCTGTGGAATAATCTCAACAATGTTCCATGGCAAAACAGGTGTTTGTCTAAGGCCATGACAGACCTCAATTCACAGACCTGGGAGGCTATGTTGAGGCTGATGTTCATCGATACGTTGATTAGTCTGAGACTGCTATTAACCCACCCACTTATTTCCTATAAAAAAAATACAACTAACTTTTCCCCCTTTTTATTAATTTTCTTTAATACTGTTTTATTTCGCCTGTCATCCAAATGTAGGTAGGTGGCTCTTCTTCATCCCTGGTCTGAGAATTAAGATTTGTGCATCTTCTGGTGAAACTAGAACAAAATGAGCTATAATCTGTGACCGAGTTTCCTCAAATTCTTTCTTCACATTCTGATAGAGATAACTCTAATCTGAGTTAAAGAGATGAGCATTAGCCAAATAATGAGACGCTCTTCACATGTTTTCTGGCCTTGAGAATGACCTTTTACTTGATAGCTTTTCTTTCTCATCACACACCCACACATACACAGTCCTGTGCACTCCCACCCTACTAAGTTTACTTGTTTGTTTTGTTTTTTTAAATTGGTATCATGGAAATTCCTAGAAATTTCAGCTAAACATATCTCTTGCATGCCAATCCTGCATGATATTTCAACTACTGATTATTAATTGGAAAGGAAAATACCATTATGGTTGAAAAAGATTACAGATGCCTGAGGAATTTATTTCTCTTTGGTGAATTTATCTTTGCATGAGCTGCATTTTGGCAGTTATGCCAGGCATTTTGTTTTGTAAAAAATAAAACAAAGGAATAATCTCAAAAGAAACACTGTATTTTGACTAGAAAAAAGAAAAATCACCTGGCAGAGAGGTGACTCACATTCAGTTCACCAGCTGGCCGGACCATGGGGTGCCTGATGATCCTCACCTGCTCCTCAAACTTCGAAGGAGAGTGAATGCGTTCAGCAACTTCTTCAGTGGTCCCATTCTCGTACACTGCAGGTAAAGTGCTCTAGGGGCCTGCTTCCATCTGTTTAGATCTTTCTGCCTTAGGCTGCTGAGGGACATTCTCCTCAGGGGAAATTACTATTTGACTGACAATCTATATAAGGAGATACTTAAAATAGTTTTCTTTCCTTCTTCCTTCACTGCTTTCCTGTTTCTTTTGCCTGTCGTGATGGTGCCCCTTCACTGTTGTATTGATTTGTTTTTGTCAGTGCTGGGGTCGGACGCACAGGCACCTATATTGGAATCGATGCCATGCTCGAGGGCCTGGAGGCAGAGAACAAAGTGGACATTTATGGTTACGTAGTCAAGCTACGCCGTCAGAGATGCCTGATGGTTCAAGTGGAGGTACTGTCTTTTCATCTTTGTTTTCTGCAATGAATCAATTCATGGTAGTAATAGTGGTCTTAAAAGTAACTCACATCCTCACAACTTCAACCAATGGGTTATGATGGTTTTCCTTTAATTTCAGAAAAACCTCTAGTAGACCACCAGTCAATTATGATCATTTCACATTGTTGTTGATGTTGTTAAGTACTGTGGAGTCGGTTCCGACTCATAGTGACCCTACAAAAGGTTTCTGAGGCTGTAAATCTTTACGGGAGCAGACCACCTCATCTTTCTCCCGCGGAACCACTGGTAATTTTGACCTGCCAAGCCTGAGGTTAGCAGCCCGATTCATAACCACTACGCTACCAGAACTCCTTCATTTCATGTTAGTATCTGTAAATACTATGGAAGAAATCATTTAAAAATAATGAGATAGCACCATTAGGTGTTTCTTTAAAAAAATTTGAATGTAGAACTACCATGTGACCAATAATCATAACCTGGGGATATATATTTAAAGGAATTGAAAGCAGGAACACAGACAAGAGCCTGTACACTAGTGTTCATTACAGTATTATTTATAATAGCCAAAAGGTAGAAACTACCTAAATGTACATTAGCAGATGAATGAATAAAGAAAACATGGAAGATACACACAATGGATTACTCCTAAACCATAATGAGAAATTATGTTTTGATCCATGCCACAATTATGGAAGAACCTTGGAAACATTGTCTATGATAAGTTAGTCACAACAGTACAAATGCTATGTGATACTACATAAATAAAGTAGGCAAATGTATAAGAGAGCAAATTTATTAGCAGTTATCAGAGGTGGGAGTGAGAGAGGGGAGTTACTGCTTATTGATTAGTCTGTAATTACTATTCTTAATCAGTGCTGTTATTTCCCAACAGAAAATCACAACCAACATTTTCCTTATTTGCGATTCTGTTAATGGTGGTAAAATAAATGGGGATGAATAGTGATAATGGTTGTGCAACATTATGAATATAATCAGTGTAACTGAATTATAAATGTGAATATTGTTGAATTTGCCAATGTTTTGTTATATACATTTTTTACTACAATAAAAGGAATTAAATACCACTTGCACACATCAAATAGGAACATTTTTGATAACAATAAATTCTGATATATAGATATGGAGAAATAACTACTCCCATATAGACAATGGAATTGTGAATTGGAACACCTAATTTAGAAAGCAATTTGGTGGCATCTTATAAAACAATCTTTCTGTGCCTCAGTTAAGCTATCTGTAAAACAGAGATAATGATATTTACATCAGAGGGGAGTTATGACACATAAAGTAATACAAATAAAGTACTTAGGACATTTCCTGGTAAATGGCATGTATTTTGTAATTGTGAGTGGGGCTTATTATTGAAAATGCTCAAACTTGGTCCACCCATTCCACATGTATGTATGTACCAAAGGAAGTACTTTCAAATGTGTAGCTTGTAGCATTTATGAGAATGTTCACTGCATTCCAACATAGTTTGAATAACAAAACATCCTAGGAGAATGGGTAAACAAAATATAGACATCTGATCTTTCTGAACAATGAATACGATGTAGCAGTTGACAGAGAAATAAACTAGGTCTATGTCTATGTGGACAGATATGAAAACAATGAGTAAATAAAGGTGTCGAATAAAGCACACAGGATACCACTTATTTCATTGTTTAGAAAATGTGAATTATACTAGGGTAAGTAGGATAAAAACTCTACCTCAAGGTCAGTGACTCAAACTCACAAGCCACACCTCGGAAACCCCATACAGGGTGTTTATGAATCAGAACCAATGTCACAGCATTTAACAACAAGTAAAAAGTATTGCTGAAAAATAATAAAAAGCTTTATTAAACAAAATATCAAAATGTGAAGCTGCTATTTCTCAACATATCCTCCATCTAGGTACATACACTTCTGAAGGTAGTGTTTCCATCTCTAACCAGTCCCAAAAGAATTCTGTGCTCTTCATTAATACTACACCAAAGTAGCAGTTTGGGCATCTTTTAGGAACTCAAATCATGTTCCTTTTAAATACTCTCTGAGTTGGAGGAACAAAAAGAAATCTGAAAGGACAAGATCAAGGCTGTAGGGTGGCTAGGGTAAGTCTCATAACAAAATTCTCATATGGGGCAGCCTTTGCTATCCTCAAAAAATGAGCAGGTGCATTGTCATGATGAAAAAATATTCCTTGGTGTAACTTTTCTGGCCGTTTCCTCACCAATGCAGTTTTAAATTTCTTAAAACTTCTTCATACTAAGCCCCCATGATCATCCTGTGTCCATTGATAAAAATCTATCAAGATTGCTCCTTTAGAGCCCCATTTACAATTGCCAGAACTTCTAAACTGACCTCTTTGTCTTGAACCTAACTGTCCCAACAGATCCCCTTAGAAGCCACTGTTTTGATTGAAACTTTGTTTTGAAGGCACTATAACTGGTGTGTCTCTGTGGGCTAATGTGCCAGACTACAAAGCCATTTGAACTGCAAGGTTGGTGGTTCAAGTTCACCAGCTGCTCCTTGGAAATGTTATACAGGGATGCTATGGGTTGAAATTGACTCGATGGCGCTTAATAACAGCAACATAAGTAAATTAAGACTGGGAGAACCTGTCTGAGCCAGCCATTCACTGATCCCAGAAAGATGTTTTAACATATTTTGTTTGAAATAAACCAGTGCATATATGAACTGGAACCCCAGTAGCAAAAACAACTTTTTAAAATTACCCTTGTGCAATGCTTATGAATAAATAAATGTTAATGTAGAAATATGAAACATATTGTTGTTAGAGAAAAATACTATTTCCATTGTGAAGAACGAAAATAGAATGGACCAAATATATCACCAAATTTAGTGGGTAGAGATGTTGGTTAAAGAAGTTTAACTATCAGAAATGGGCTTATTAAAAAAAATACTGAATGTGAATATAATAAAAAGTTAAGGATTTTTGAATCTTGGTTTTCTGTATTCTTTTCTATTTAAATAAGTTCTCTTAGATATCCTGGAATACTATTTTAGAATATATATTCTAAGTAGTATCAGTTTTCTTTTTGTTTTCACATATACTGAGATGCACTATAATTTCATACATCAGTCATGTAATTTACTGACTCAATAAGAAAAAAAAGTCATCAAATGTATTTTTAATTATTAGGATTGAAATAAAAACTACAGCAGCCAGTAGATGACTAAGGTGTTTTTTTCTGAAAATGTCTGAAGTAAGATTTCTTCATATTCCAGAGAACTCTGAGAGTCAACTGCAGACTATTTCAATGTTGTGGATGTCAGTTCTCTTTAGCCATATAGCTTTCAAATATGAAAAAAAAAAAAAAAGATAAGAATATATATTTTATTTAATTGTGGTTTATAAGTTATTTATATTTTTCTTTGAAATTCTAGGCACAGTACATCTTGATTCACCAGGCCTTGGTGGAATACAACCAGTTTGGGGAGACAGAAGTGAGCTTGTCGGAACTGCATCCATATCTAAATAACATGAAGAAAAGAGATCCCCCCAGTGAGCCGTCTCCACTAGAAGCTGAATTCCAGGTGCTAACATCAAAAACAATAATAAAAACAGTTACCTTTCATTGAGTTTTGTCTGTCTTTCAGGTATTGTACTAGATACCTGATATAGCTCTTGAATTTGGGCCTAAACATATCCAATGAGGCCCAGATGAGGAAACTAAACAATGGGGAATTTAAGAGAAATGCCTGAAATGACAGAACTATTATATTGGAGACTGAATCCAGGAATCTAATTCTATAGCCAGCACTTTAAACCATTCCTCATTAAGCTGGTATAAAATAAAATGTCAAAATAATAGTCTATAGCCACAAAATTGGCCTGCCAAAGGCAATGTTGTATCTCACCTTTAAACACTGCATCTGGTTTCATTTTGTAAAGGAAATAATTAGAGGAGTTTATGACTGCTTAGGAAGTTGAACTGGCTGGAGCTGATAGACAGAACGTAAAGAATAAATGTGTCCTAACCTATTTATTAGGCAATTACTCTGAAAGCCAGCATAAGATATAGTTCACAATGACTTCAATACAGTTGACATAGCTATTGCCAAATTGTTCAGCTATTTTTGAAGTTTTGTAACTTTTCCTTTTCCACCTCTGATTTTCAATTTACAGAGCCTTTGTGCAAGCTACCAAACTGGTTGATTCAGAAGTTGCAGAACAAGACCAGGAATATGCTTTTAATCAGATGTTTAGAATCAAAGTGAAACTGAGATGGGGGAAGGGGGGATTAAGCATGCAGTCACCAAGTAACACAACCAATCAGAAACCTGTACTATATTGGAAGGATGAAAAGGCACTGGGTAGGCTTAAAAAATTGTTAAGTGCCTTTACAGGAGTTGTTGTTGTTAAGTGCCGTCGAGTTGGTTCTGACTCATAGCGACCCTGAACAGGGTTTCTGAGGCTGTAAATCTTTACGGGAGCAGAAAGCCTCATCTTTTTCCCAGAGCGCAGCTGGTAGTTTCGAACTGCTGACCTTAAGGTTCGCAGCCCGATTCGTAACCACTACGCTACCAGAGCTCCTTTTCACAGGAGTAGGAAGTCTTATCTTTTTCTCAAATTATAGTGATGGATAGTAACAAATGAATTGGTGATATGAAGAACAGAGTGCATAGAGGAAGTAGTATGGGCAACGTAATGGGAGATTTGACAGAATTACAGATTACTAGGGTACTATAGTAAATGATTGCAAAAACTAGGGGATACTTGTCAATGACAGGGAGTTGAAATCATGATTTTTAAAGGTGATGCAATTTTTCAGAAACAACTCTTTAAAAAAGTAAAATGACGAAAAGCTGAAGAGTGGAGGGAAAAGTCATGGAAGGTGAAGAAACTATAAAACTGGAATATTGGATAGGTCATTTTTCTCAGTGCTGAAGTAGTCAAGAATGATGACCATCTCAAGAGGAGCACACAGTTAACTAAGTCTAAAACTAATTGAGATTGGGGATCCAGAGCTTGATACCTGACATCTCCAAGTGAGGACTACCCAGAGTCTCATAAAGGAAAGGATTTGTAATCTAATTCTGAAAGGTCACAGTCATTGAAAATGTTACCAAGCACGATTCTACTCAGATACACATGCATTACCAGGAGTCAGAATTGACTCGACAGCAACTGTGTGTTTGTTTTCTTTACATAAACATGTTACTGACTTGTATATATTGTGTATGATGACCTCTTTCTGTTTAGGTTATTTATCTGCTTGACAAATATTTATTTAGGGACTAGTGGAAAGGAAGGTTTGCTGGCACGAAGGTCTTCTAGAACAAAGTGACACTAGATTGATACCTAAAGGGTAAGTAGAAATTAGCAGAGTGGCAAAAGGAGAAAGAGGCAGGAAACACACACACACACACACAGAAAGCCAAGACAAAATACTTGTCACATAGATACCTAAAAGTTAATAAATAACTTGATGCTTTCTAAGAATGGAGGGACTTGGCTTAGTTCAAGTTTGACATATGTAAGGACTGTGTAGCTCAGTCCTGGTGTGGAGCTGTGGGTGTATGAATTGGACAACAGAGTCAGTTTGAACCGCAAGTTTAACAGTTCAAGCTCACCAGCCTTTTCATCAGAAACCCTATACAGGGTTGCTATGAGTCAACAGCACTTAACAACAACAACAACAAGAGGGAATGAGTCCTGATATGGTGCTGTAGGATAAACACTGGATTGCTATCTACAAAGTCCATGATTCAAACCCACCAGTCACTCCTTGAAAACCCTATGCAGGGTCACTATGAGTTAGAAATGAATTGATGGCACTTAACAACAAAGAGGGCATAAAGCTGGAGAAGTAGTCAGGAGCGTATCTCTAAGGGCTTTTTGCTGTATTAAGGGGTTTGATGACCTCTTAACAAAGATAAGAAGCTGTTAAAGAATGTGTGTTTTAGTTACTATTCATTGGCTTTCGATTGTGTGGATCACGATAAGCCTATGGACAACATTGCAGACAACGAGTATTCCAGAACACTTAATTATCCTTATAAGGAACCTGTACATAGACCAAGAGGCAGCTGTTAGAACAGAACAAGGGAACACTGAAAGGTTTGAAATTAGGAAAAGTGTGTTCTAGGGTTGTATTCTTTCATCATACTTACTCTATCTGTATGCTGTGCAAATAATTTGAGAAGCTGAATTATATTAAGAAAAACATGGCTTGGAGTTGGAGGAAGACTCATTAACAACTTGCTATATGCAAATAATACAACCTTGCTTGCTGAAAGTGAAGAGGATTTAAAAACACAGATGAAGATCAAAGACCACAGCTTTCGGTATGGGTTGCATCTCAATGTAAAGAAAACAAAAGTCCTTATCACTGGAGTAATAAATAACATCAAGATAAATGAAGAAAAGAGTGAAGTTGTCCAAGACTTCATTATGCTGGGATCAACCATCAACATTCATGCAAGCTGCAGATACGAAATCAAACGATGTATCGCATTAGGCAAATCTACTTACAAGACCTCTTTCAAGTGTTCAAGAGCAAAGATATCATCAGTCTGAGGACTAAGGTGTACTTGATCCAAGACATAATTTTACAGTAGCGATATATATGTGAAGGAGTCCTGTTGTAGCATTGTGGGCTAATGTGTCAGACTGCAAAGTCAAACCAATCTGTATTGGAAGAAGTACAGAATGCTCCTTAGAATTCATGAGGGTCAGACTTTCTCATACTTCAGACATATCAGTAGGGACCAGTCCCAGGAGAAGTACATCATACTTGGTAAAGTGGAGGATCAGTGAAAAAAAGGAAGACTCCCAACTAGATAGATTGACACAGTGGCAGCAGCAATGGGCTCAAGTGTAGCAACGATTGTGAGGTTGTTGCAGGACCAGACAGTGTTGTGCATAAGGTTGCTGAGTTGGTATGGACTTCATGGCACCTAACAATAACAATATAAGGAGTGCATGCAAATTTCACAAAACTTGACAGAAGGTTTGTTCTTTTCTCTAGGGAGAATGATATGTCACAATAGTAAATCAATGTTTAGAAATTTTAAAGGACTTTTTCATTCTTTTTTTTTCCTTAGAGGCTTCCTTCATATAGGAGTTGGAGGACACAGCACATTGGGAATCAAGAAGTAAATAAAACTAAAAACAGGAGTTCCAATGTCATTCCATGTATGTATTTTAATTCATTTTACATCAGATTAAGTTAAGCCCTTTTTTTGATTTGTTTAATACAATGGAAAAAATCTTTTTTTTTTTTTTTCAATATTCAGTTGACAGAACCGGAGAGGTTAACAGACTATTTCAATTTTATTTAAAGCAAATATTTTGAACTCCAACCATTACAAGACATTTTAGAGTTGTGAATAGTCTGTATTGAGTGTTTGTCTTTTTCCTTCTTATACTAATTATTTCAAAATGGTTTACCAGAAAGATGAAATTTGTATAGCTGGGAGAAAAAAATACTCAGTGTTCTTTATCAGTTCTCTCTCATTTTAGTTTATTTTAGCTGTTTACGTTAATTGACAAATACAAAACGTTACATGCTTTTGTTCTCTTGATGTTTATTGTTTTGTTTTTTAATTTTACATCGGGGGGTATAAAAATTGGTTCAAACTGTCATTCATTAAATTTTCTTTAGATTTTTTGTTTTATTATTGTTGTTTTTTGGTGGAAATATGCACAGCTAAACACACCCACATTCCCCACATTCTACCATTTCTAAACCTAATGATCAGTGACATTGATTAGATTTTTAATATTGCATCAACATTCTTGTTATTTTTTTAATTTCCATTAATAATCTCTCTTCCCCACAAACTTCTCATTTATGCTTTAAAGTATCTGTTGACCCTTTAGTCTTGTATAGATACTTTTAAAAAAAAGTAATAATTGAAATTTAACAGATCAAAATATGCAGTTCTGAAGACTTAATTCTACTCTTTAATCAAGCTTACAGGACCACACTTGGTAGAATTATCAGTACAAATATACAGTAGAACTAACATAAAAAAACTTAGCCCAAGCTAATCAAGCAAGCAAATCAAATTAGATCAATGAATGGATAACCTACTTAATTTATGAAAAATTCCTTATGAGTTTGTTTTACAATATGGGATTGATGGGGATGCAGTTAGTTATATAATTTGGGCAGGTTATAATACTTTTAAAATTAAGCTGCCAGAAATTATGGACTAAATAATTTTCTAGAATAAATAATAATTCATCTGAGACCCCTCTTTAACTAAGGCTGTCAATGTAATGTTATAGGCTACAACTCAAAAAAATTAAATGCTAAGCTAGGATTTAAAGAAAGAAATATATATATATATATATTGTTGTTGTTGTTGTTGTTGAGTGCCATCGAGTCGGGTCCGACCCATAGCGACCCTGTACAGGGTTTCCGAGGGTGTTGTAAATCTTTACGGGAGTAGAAAACCTCATCTTTCTCCCGCGGAGCAGCTGGTAGTTTCGAACCGCTGACCTTAAGGTTCGCAGCCCGATTCATAACCACTACGCTACCAGAGCTCCATATATATATATATATATATATATCAAATAGGATGATAATATTTCCTGAGAAACTAAGGTATACATATATCGAAGGTTGGCTGATCATATGACACATCATTCATAGATATTTGTCTTTCAACAATTGTGTTTCTTTTTCTAAACCACTTGAGGGGCTTTCCCTCTCTTAGATTAAAAATATATCTATTTTGTTAATCAGTGAGTACTGACTTTTATGTAAGGTGTCATTTCACATAGATCAGTCAATCGACAGATCAATATAATGTAATCTGTCACTTCTTAATTACTTTCTTCCCTTTAATTTGCATATGACAATCAAGCAGAGCTTTAACATTTTAATAGTAAGACTTATTCCTAATTTGCTTTATGTAGATGACTTTAACAGAGTGCCACTTAAACATGAACTGGAAATGAGCAAAGAAAGTGAGCAGGAGTCAGATGAATCATCTGAAGATGAGAGCGACTCAGAGGAAACCAGCAAGTACATCAATGCATCTTTTATAGTGGTAGGTACTTGAGTTTCCTAGGTCCAAGACCTTTTAAAAATTGTTGTTGTTGCTCTACTGACCTTGTGGTTAGCAGTCCCATGCTTACCCTAAGTGCCACACAAGGACTCCTGTGTATTTATGGCTAGTCATTAAGGTGTGTATAGAAGAGGATGCACTAACACTGGCTATATATACATTGACTAATTCTTGAAAGTCTTGCTCAATTTTGAAAATATTGTATTTTAACTTATTAAAAGACTAAAAGATGTTAGAACCTAATGAATTGATCTAAAATAGGACAATCCACTGGTTATATCTTATGGCATATGTTTATAACCTTATTAATTAAAAAAATAAGATTTGAGGAAATATACATATTTGAAAATTTTATAGCTAAGCATCTAAATTGTAGGCAAATCCAAATTTCTACACTTAACATTGTTTAGGTCAAAGCTTTTCATTCAGATTTTCTGAATTATTAAGTAGATCTGTGTCACATACTTGTTTTTTTCTTTTAATAAAGTGAGGCTTCAATCATAGACCCTTTATTCAGTCAATAAACACTGCATATACATGGTGTTGGATTGATAGATTTTCTAAATTTATCTAAATGACACATTCATAGAATATTATTTAATTTTTCATTATGAAACTATTATAAGAATTATAAAGATTAAACCAGGGACACGATGAAGAAAACTTGAAATGCTTAAGTAACTCCTCTTTACAATTACGCTAAACTTTTTTAAAGTAATTATTTTTGGAAGGAACACTTGTTAGATTTCCAAATTTCTTATCTTGATTACCCCTTATTAGCTAGGGACTATCACTAACTGAAGAAGTATTTTGTATAAAACATTGTTTCTTGGACCTACGAATCTTAATATTTTTATGTAACAGCATTGATATCAAACTAAGTGACTATCTTTCCAAATGGCTGTCTTAAGAATCTACTGCTCTCTCTTCAGTTAACAATAATAACAGAAAGTCTCATTATTATTATTTTGAAGAGTTACTGGAAAACTGAAATGATGATTGCTGCTCAGGGACCACTGAAAGAGACCATTGGTGACTTTTGGCAGATGATATTCCAAAGAAAAATTAAAGTTATTGTTATGCTGACAGACCTGAACAGTGGACCTCAGGTTTGTACTTGAGACTTTCTATCATACTGTTATACAATACCTTTCTCCACTGTTGAATTGCTTTCTTGATCTATATACCAATGTCTCTTTTATCTTTCTGTCACACACTTCTACTTGTTCATTCTTACCACATTCATTCAGTTGTTGGCCTCCAGAGTCCCTTGTTGGATTCTGGTTATCACTCATGTTTTCCCTCTCCAGTCCTACTTCTCAGCTCACAGATTACCTACCCCTCAAATGACACCCCTTACTAAAACCAGCGGGTATATTTTGTCTCTATTACCTTAAAAAAATTTTTTTATTGTGTTTTAGGTAAAAGTTTACAGGGAAAATTAATTTTCTCTCTACATAAAGTTTGTACATACAGCATTATATGACATTGGCTACATTCCCCCACAATGTGCCAACAGTCTTCATTTTTCTCCATGGGTTCCACAATTCTTTTCATCTGGATTTTCTATCTCTTCTTGCTTTCTCATCTTTCTTTTGGTCAAATGTTGTCCTTTTGGTCAAATGTTGATCTCGTATAATTGATTGTTCTAAGAAACACATTCCTTTTGAGAGTTAGTGTTTATTTTATGGTCCTGTCTATTATTTAGCTGAAATGTAATCTACAGGAATGACTTCATTTCTAGCACATGAAGGTGTCTTAGGACCATAGTCTTTACATTTTCTTCAGTCTCTGTCACACCAGTCTGATCCTTTTTTGTGTGTGTGAATTTAGTTTTTTTTTTTGTTGTTGTTCTAAATTAGTCTTAGTTACCTAGTGTTACTATAACTGAAATACTATAAGTGGATGCCTTTAGCAAACAGAAATTTATTCTCTCCTTTTTGTAGGCAAGGAACCCTAATTCAGAGCAGCAGCTCTGGAGAGAGATCCTTGTCTCCTTCCAGCATCTGTAGCCCAGCATTCCTGGAAGATCTCCACGTACTTTCGCATCACAATTTCACAGTGCAGGTCCCAAATATGTGCTCCACTCCCAGTTCTTCTTTCTTGGTGTCAGTAGATTCCTGAGCTTTGCTTGCTTGTTTAATCTCTTTTATATCTCAAAAGAGATTGGCACAAAAAAATACATAATAATTCTGTAGATTGTATCAGGACTCATTAACATCATAGAATTGAGGATTTTCAATACATAGGATAATTGCCTTAGATAAGAGCTGATTACATCAGATCACATCATGGGTATGATTACATTGCATTAGATTTCATCATCATGGGTGATTGTTGTTGCCAGGTGTCATCGAATCGGAACCGACTCATAGTGACCCCATGCACAGCAGAACGAAACAATGTCCAATCCTGCGCCAACCTCACTACTATTGCCACACTTGAGTCCATCGATGCTGCCACTTGGCCAATCCATCTTGTTGGGGGTCTTCCTCTTTTTCTCTGACCCTCCATCTTACCAAAGATGATATCCTTCTCCAGTGACTGGTCCCTCCTGACAATATGTCCAAATATGAGAGATGAAGTTTGGCCATGTTGCTCTCCAAGGAGCACTCTGGCTGCACTTCTTCCAAAACAGATCTATTGGTTCTTTTGGCAGCCCCTGGCACTTTTAGTATTCTCCTCCAACACCATAATTCAAAGGCATCAATTATTCTACGGTCTTCCATATTCACTGTCCAGCTTTCGAAGTTGTCATGGGTGATTACTGCTAAACCAATGAGAATTATGGTCCAGCCAAGTTGACACAAAACCTTAACTGCCAGAACATTTTTCTCTCAATCCATCTGGGACCCTTCATGATCCTTGTGATCACAGTCAAAATAGCCAGCAGTGGTAGCCAGGAGCCATCTAATTCTTCTGGTGTTCCATTAGTCCTTTGGATTAATTACTTCCTTGAGTTGTTTATTTTTTTCACTTTCATTTGCACCAAATGGGAAGAGACAAATGGTTGTATCTTAGATGATTGCTCCCAAGTTTTTAAGAGCCCAGACACTACTCATCAAACACTGTCTTTATGAACTATATTGTGCCAATTGATGTAGATATCCCTGAGTCTATGATCTTTCACCTTTCACCCTAGGAACTTCATTCCTCAAGGTGTTTACTTATATCTGAGAGATTTCCATGACTGTGCCCTTTGTGTTTTATATTGTTTACACAATATCCATGCAGTCCCTACAGTTATGTAAATAGAAATATCCACAACCAAACCTATATCTAACACAGTGTGTTCCTTTACACGCTCCCATACTTCTTACTATTAATGTTAATACTATTTTTGAAGGATTATCTGTTATAGTAATAATCCTACCTACCACTGCTTTGGAGTCAGTTCCTTCATAGAGACCCGACACTGTTGTTGTTAAGTGCTGTCAAGTCAAGTCTGATCCATAGCAACCCTATACAGGGTTTCTGAGGAGCAGCTGGTGAACTTGAGCTGCCAACCTTGCAGTTCAAACGGCGTTGCAGTCATAGGGATATGTAAAACTGCTCCATAGGTCTTCAAAACTGTGAATCTTTATGGCATCAGGCAGGTTCCTCTTTCTCTCATGGAACAGCTGCTGGGTTGGAACTGCTTACCTTATGGTTAGCATCTCAATGCTTAAGCCACTGTACCATCAGGGCCCCTTTCCTTAGTTGTTCTGTATTCTTGTTTTCCTTTCAATGTCTTTCTGTGCCTTGGTCATGTTGTGCCACTCATCCATATTGTGTATTGCCTTTTCCTTCATTATTAATGCATGTCTTTTATATAATTAGTAATCTTCCCTCCCTCTCCCTCCCATCCCTAATAACCATCAAGTATTTGTTTTCTTGTGTGTAAACCTTTTCTTGTTGCTGTCTTTGTTTTTATAATAGTTGTCCTCTTGTGATTGACTTAGTTCACTCAGTATGATGTCCCTCAAATTCATACATATTGTAAGAATGCCAGATTTGTTACTCTTTATCATTTCCTAATATTCCATGGTATGTATGTTCCAGAGTTTGTTTATACATTTGTCCACTGGTAGACACCATGTTTCAATCTTTTTGCTATTTTGAATAATGCTGCAATGCCTTAATAAAGAAAAAATAAATGTAGATATGTTTATTCATTTCATAGCTCTTTTATCTTTATAGTATGTACTTAGATGTGGGATTGCTGGATCTCTAGTGCTAGCTATCTAAGAAAGTGGTTGTATAATTTCACATTCCCATCAACAGTGTATAAGGGTTTCATTTTCTCCACAAAAATTTGGTCCTTTCTGTTTGCTATTTCTTTTCTTATTGCTCTAGCTAAGACTTACAATACAATGTTGATTCAGAATGGTGATAAAGAGCATCCTTGTCTAGGTCCTGTTCTCAAGAGGAATGCTTCCAGTCTCTCACCATTGAGAATAATGTTGACTGTTGGTTTTGTATGAATGCTCTTTATTATGTTGAGGTATGACCATTCTATTCGCATTTTGTCAGTTTTTATCAGGAATGAGAGTTGTATATAAATATTTTTAACTTTTTATTGTGAATTGAATGAAGGTTTACAGACAAGTTCATCAGTTTTAAATTCAACAAATTATACAGTTTTTTTTTTTCCTCTCAATGATTGCAATCCTCTCCATGCAATAACAGTTACTCCACATCCTCTCTCTGGTTCCTAATTCCATTCCACTCTCTATCCCATCCCTTCTCAACTTTGTCCTTAGGTAAATGTTGACCTTTACATCTTGAATGATTGATAATTCCTGGTGAGCATACCTTCCTAGTGTTGTTGTCCCCCCTACATACCTGTCTACTGCTTGACTGAAAGTTAGGTGGCAAGGGTGAGTTCTGTTTCAGACACGAAAGGTCAAGAGTCATAATCTTGAGTTCCTCCAGTCCCTTTTTGGGAGTTGGGTTTTGTCAAATGCCTTTTCTATGGTAATTGAGATGATCATGTGCTTCTTTTGTTTTATTTATGTGGTAGATGATCTTGCTTGATTTTGTAATATTGAACTGTCTGCATACATGATATGTATCCCACGTGTTCATGATGAATTATTACTTATTTTTTTGATCTGCTGTTGAATTCTATTAGCTAAAAATTCTTTTTGGAGATTTTTTACATTTATATTCCACTCCTCCGAAACCCTATATGGGGCTGTTATGAGTCAGAACTGATTCAATGGCACTTAACAACAGCCTCATAAGAATGCAATCAAATTCGTGGTTTACATTTTTTTCTTTGTAACTGTTTCTCTCTCTTACCTTGGCTACCTTGTATGAGGGTGAGTCAAAAGTTATTTGCATCCTGGATGTCGAACTTACTATAATAAACTTTTAGAAAAGAAAAATTTATCATTTTTCGATACAATATCCTTGCTTTTCAATACACTTTGTCCATCTGCCAACAAACTTCTGTATTCACTTACTAAATGTTTTAGGCTGAGTTACGAGCCATGAATACACCACTGTTTTCTGTGAGTTGCTTCGGTAGTCATCTCGCACATGAGATGAGTAAGAGGAGAGAAAGTAGTTTCAGAAACTAATCTCCAAACTATGCTATCTTTGAGTCAGTGGAGGAGACATATTAGACATCAGCTCAGTCTATAGATTTTGAAAGATATGGAAATGAGAGATAATTTTTCAAAACGTATGCTAGGAAAGACAGTGTTCCTGCAGCTTCCTGGCCATCTTGAGTATTCCCAGGTTCCTATTACTTATAAAAGTAAACATACATTTGTTCAAAGATTCTCCAAAATATTTAAAACTGATTTGGGGTTTCAATTTTAGAAAACAGTCGATGACTTTCATTTAATAGAAAGGAAGGGAGAGAAGGAGTCTTTTCAATACACTTTGTCCATCTGCCAACAAACTTCTGTATTCACTTACTGAATGTTTTAGGCTGAGTTACGAGCCACGAATACACCACTGTTTTCTGTGAGTTGCTTCGGTAGTCATCTCGCACATGAGATGAGTAAGAGGAGAG